ACCGTTTTTCTTCTTTATTCTCAATTCCCTTGTCACTTTAAGGATGAGGTTTCGTTTGCCCCACTCCACCACTATCAAGGTAAAAGGCGGCTATTCCGAAATTCCCAGACTTGATACATGAGTTCGCATTCAGTACTGATTCCACTCACGGAGCTTCCAGAACAGCTCAGAGCTCAGCTCTAATGTTCACATCTCAAAAACCTCGGCAGAGGCAGCGCCACGTGAGCACAACCATTTCCTCACGTTTACCATTACTATGATGTTCTGCGCGAAAATATGAATACAGTGCCAAAAATATCGCATTTCCTTACAGTTTCATCGGTACTTCTCTGATGAACAATCTGGTGGAGAAACTCCCGTTTTGAAGACCATTAGCAAAGCAAGACAGCCGGAGGGGGCTCATCTCGCCTTCGTCACACGTCTCCGACTGATTGCAATGTTACGGACTATACTTCCATGACCCTGAGCGCAGATCGAAGCATAAAGTGACAAAGAAGGAAAAAGGAACTCTTCACTAGAGAGTCAAAATCCTGGCGATGAAATGATGGAGCAGACCTCAGTTCCACCGAACGCCAATGGGAACTCTCGAGCCCCCATTCAGCTAGAACAAGCGCACCGAAAAATTTGTTTAGTATAATTCCAAAAGAGAGGAATCGTACAGCGAAATTGGGGAGTGTCGCGAAGAGTTAAAGCGGTTACCACCAAGTCTATTACCTAACCAGCCGGACAGTGACGATTAGGCAACGTTCGCACACCGCAATAACGCGCTCCGACTCACTGCAACCCGCGACGACGCGCTCTAACGCGCTGTAGCGCACGTCGACGCGCTGCAATTGCAACAGCGCTCCAAAGTTATAGATGTGAACGCGGCCGCAGACGTAGGTGTTGCATAGTCATGCAGACAGGTCGGCACTGGTCATCTGTGGCTGCGTTCGCGCCTGTAGCTTTGAAGCGCTTTTGCAATTGCAGCGCGTCGACACGAGTTACAGTGCGTCATAACGAAGTCTAAACGCTGCACACTATTGTTGGTTTTGGCGACTGTAGTGTTTGTAGAATGCCCAAAGAGGTCGAAATGGTTCGAAGACATACTGTGCGTTAATCTGCGAGGCCCGTCTTTCCCTTAGGCAAGAGAAGCGGGCCCGAAGCTGCAGCAGGGTACAGCTTTCGCCACTTGCAATTGCGTGACAGTTATGTGGGAGGATTGTGATAGCTGGCGTGTTCTCTTATGCCCCAATGTACAGTGAGCTTGCCGCACTTCGTGAGTTTGCGGATCAACACGTTCGTTGCGAGCTCACCTACAGTATTGCTCGGTACGGATGCAAGGGCGTGTTAGGGGTCTTGGTCCTGTCTGCGCCGGTCTGCTTTCAGCTGTCGTCGCTTGCTCGCTTCGACTATTAGTGAAGGACGGGCTAGCACCACGCCAAACCCAGCTCTCCTGATACGCCCCAGGATTCCCAGCGGACAAAACTATAAGTCCTGCAACGAACGTGGTGACACGCGGTGGAAGTCGAACTGTGAATTCTAGCGGTGCCCAGCCAAAGGCGAGACGACATTATCTCGCTGTCATTTATTTATTTCAGAGCATTAAGCAAAGGATCCATGAGATAATTCATGAAACAAGAAAACCTGAGCAAATCATAAAAACAGCTAACAACAATCATAGGAAAGAATATTACTATATCTATTACTACTATATAAAAGACATATTCCTCGAGGACCCGAATCGTAGATTTCGGAATATGTTCTCCTTTTGCCGCTCA